AGTTGATGAATAGACAAGTTGAGATGTTGAGTCAGATGCTTCATAAACATTTCTTTGTATGGAGTAAAATTTGAAAAGCCAGGACTTTTCAATTGATACCCTATACACAAAGGTGTGGCACAAAAACCATCTAAATGAGATGTTGGGGAATACTCATAAGGACATGATTGCGGTTTACATTCAACGGTGGTAGAGTTTGTAATAGTGCTTTCATGCTTAGTTTGAGATCTACAAAACTGAACTAAACTTCTATTCTGGCATAGAGGATTCCCTTTAAGCCTGAAAGACAAGAAGATATTCAACTTCACTTTAGACTGTGAACCTTTCTTTCTTTATATAGAAATATAAAAAAGATATAAAACCAACAAGCCTATTAAAGGTGTAAGTGTATATTATATTATATTGCAAGTGAAGTAACTAGATATAAAAGCTAAGTGAAAATAAACACATTAATGGCTACTTAATTAAAGTAAAATCAAAAGATAGGACATATGCAGGAGCAAACCAGAGAGTGACACTTGGAGGGAGATCAGAACTGCCGGAAATATTGACAAGCAAATTGTTCTCCAAATCTCTACACAGTTAATGTAAAGCACCACATAGCATTGATTATTAGCAAAAACTGTCTTTGAACATCACAAATGATTACAATATTGATCTTAAGTGAGAACAAATGAAGCTCCTAAATCTAGATCAACATATTCACTTGGCAAATCAAGTCTGTGATCGTGATGTAGGGTTCACATTCTAAACAACAAAAATAATTTTTTCAAGACTTATAGTGTAAGACTCTCTGATCCATTTAGAAACCTGTTCTGCCAAAGGGAGGATAAAATTGAGCCATTCAATGAATTATTTGCAAGTAGCCTACAAGGAGGAATAAACTAACTCTTTTAATACGTTTAATCAAGTTAAATATATTAGCAATGCCATTAGCTACTAACTTAATTTCTAGTGTCACAAAGGCAAGAAATTAACAAATTGGAAGAGACAAATTGGTAGATCAGCAAAGTTGGTAGGAATGCTTCCAGTAAGTTTATTGTTGGATAAATCACTATACATATTTCCAGACAACAAAATGTCAAAAATCATGGAATCACACAAAGGTATTGTAATCTAAAGTGAGTATTTTTAAAATCTTAAAGCAATAAAATCACCAAAAATGTGTACACTGCTAGAGAAAGAATCTTACATGGTTGTGATATTGTTCAAGAGCTTATTTGTAGGAATAGGTCCACTTAGTTGGTTGGAGCTCAAGTCCCTGAAATTTAAATAAGAGAAATAGAAATAAGAGTTACATTTAATTCTCTAATAGGAAAGTCATTCTATCATGAGGAACAAATTGAAGGAGACCAAGTGGAAAATGCTTACAGTTTTTGGAGAAGAGGTAGACTAAAAAAGTTGGTAGGAATGCTTCCAGTAAGATTATTGTTGGATAAATCGCTATACATATTTTCAAACAACAAAATGTCAAAAATCATGGAATCACACAAAAGTATTGTAATCTAAAGTGAGTATTTTTAAAACCTTAAAGCAAGCAAATCAGTAAAAATGTGTACATTGCTAGAGAGAGAATTTTACATGGTTGTGATATTCTCCGAGAGCTTATTTATAGGTATGGATCCATTTAGCTGGTTGGAGCTCAAGTCCCTAAAATTTATATAATAGATAACTAGAAATAAGAGTTACATTTAATTTTATAATAGGCAAGTCATTCCATCATGAGGAACAAACACATGAACTTACAGATAACCAAGGTTGGGTATTCCACTTAGGTCAGGGACTGATCCATGCAAGTTACAATTCCTGAGACTCCTAATAATTTAACCAACAATATTGTTTAGCATCACAAAATACCACACACCTTCAAGTCCACATATGCTTCCTAATAGTCATTGTCAATCCATGTTAAAATTATTAGGGATAGCTATATGACATTTAGTAATTCAATAGTACAATATTTAAAGTATTTAATGTTTATAATATTTTCATTTCATTCTAGTTGTGTAAGCAAAACCTAATTCCACTTTGAAAATTATACATCCTTCTAAGTTTTATCAATTTCTCTTTAATGTAAATATAGTTTTAGAGAAATTTCATTGTTTCATGTTGATGCAGGGAATGTAGGGGTAAAACAAATAGAAACTAAGAACTCCGCAAAATTAAAGATGGAACCAAGAAAACTTAGGTTTTCAACCTCAAATTTATTCTCAAACTAAAATCTCATAACAAAAACTGATTTAGAGATCTAAAGATAACTATATATACTAACAATAGCCAAGAATCCTACTTCAATTCTAATTTGAACTTCTAATAAACTATGAACTCCTAATAAGCTATTTTTAACCACTTTTTGCTTGCAATGGTGAAACCATGTAAATATGCTTTACAAAATTCTCAAATGTGTAGTCTTATGTATCACGTATAAATATATTAATAAGATGGTAGTACTTATCTCCTCATCTCTACCTTCTAAATCTATATAATGCCAGGATAGGATTACAGTAAACACTTACAACTTCAATAATGTAGGTATGTTTTCAAATGATCCTGGAATGGTAGCCCCATCAAAGTTGTTATTGTCAAGTTGACTACAAAAGGTAGAAATGGAAGCTATTAAGCAAACTAGAGAAGATTAGCAACTGAAATCTGAAATGTACAAGCATTTTCATGTAATTATAAAGATATACTCAAGAAAAAAATGATAAAGAAGAAAAATATATAGGACAAATGTAACCATGGACTTTATTAATGAGACAAAAAATGTTCTTTATGTTTGCATTGCATGTCTGTATATATATATATAGACCTCAGCTCTGTCCTATTATTCTCCTACTATTTGAGTTGAATAACTAACAAGTTACGTACAATATATAGCTTATACTCTCATTTGACGTTTTCATTTAGCTATATCCCATAACAATCAGAATAAATGACTTATAAGCTTAAGTCCATATCAAAATATTTCCAGGAAAGTTAGAAAACATACAGGATGGCTAAATTCGGCATTTGGGCAAGTTCTTGTGGAAGATACCCCGATAATTTGTTATTGTCAAGAAGGCTGCATAAGAAAAAATGAATGGAGCCTTAAAAGGAAGCTGAGTTGCACATTATCACAGATAAGTTAACGCTTCAGGTATATGGCAAGACTAAAATGGGAGAAATTAACCTATGATAAACTTACAAGTGTTTAAGTTTTGGTAATTTGGAGAGCTCCGGAGGGATTTGTCCGCTAATTGAATTATTATTCATGTGACTGCTCAAAGCAGAAAGAAGATAAGGAATAGATTGAAAATATAACAAGGAAGGCAAATTGAAAATGACAAGGGACACTAGTACTAGCAATTTCAGAAATGCCCTTACAAATGCACTATTTTGTTTAATTTTGCAAATGATGTAGGTATTGGTCCAGATATGTTATTCTCGTCAATTTGAATCCTGTCTAGATTCGATAGATTGCCGAGCTCATCAGGCAAGGATCCTGTCAATTTGTTCCCATTCAGGAGCCTGTAAAATAGATTACCACTTGTAAATTAGCAAATAAGAAAATTTGATGCAAATATGCAGTATTACAATATTGATAATAAGATCAGAAATGAGCTAGCTAGAAAATCATTGTTAAATAAATTTAACTTACAATAGCTCCAAGGTTGTGATATTGCCAATCTCTTTTGGTATACTCCCATTAATTTTGTTCCATATAAAACACCTTTTACAATGGAAATGAATGATAAATCATCATTAAATAAAAAATTATAAACCTTCCAGGAAGGATTGACATAAAGATAGCTTTCATAATATACTTAGCCTCACAATGTCAACAGATGAGGCAAGCGGCCAAGTGCTGGTGATAAAGATCCTGAAAGATCCATATTCAGTAGTTGCCTGCATCAAACAAAAAAAAGAAAAAGAAAAAAGAAGAAAGCAATATGGCATCGTTGTTAATTAGTAAAAATGTCAAAAAGCAATCAGGTCAAAGTTTACTGGAAGTTGATATCTAGTTTTTGTGGGTTTGTTGACATTTAGAAAATTCTTGACATAAAAACAAAATAACAGTAACCAGTTTAGGGCTATGATATGATGAAGGGCTTATAGCAGCAACTTTTCAATGATGTTAAGATGTATTAGCAAGTGTTCTGATTAGTACCTAGACCTATATATCTTGGTTGAATGACTGCACTGATGGGTAATTTGTCCATAAACATGCAAAACTAAATTGACAACTAAAGCTTACAATTCTGTGACATGCAGATAGCCATCATCTGGGGTTGTATTAGAGCATAAAACTCTAGTCCAATTGGATGTGCATGGATCTCCTCGTTTCCAATTAGCCAAAATTTTCTTGGGATCAATCAAACTTTTCTCGATGGTTTGCAATGCGCTCACTGCAAATTGTAATTAACATGAATTAATTCATCCAAATGAACGTTATGATTTTGGGATACGGAAGAGTAAATCAAACCCCACAAGATGAAAGTGCAAGCTACTACTAGACTTTAAAAGGTGACAGTATAATATTTGAGGGTATTTATGTAATTGTGTAGTGTAATGCTGTATATACATATAAATATGTAACCCTAATTCTGTATTGGAATGAGAAGCATTATTCACAGTTTCATGGTATCAGAGCCGCAATTCGGGACCAAGTCTTCTTCTCCAATTTTCATCTTATTCTCTAGGTCTCTAGGTTTTTAGTCTCTTCTCCAATTTTCATCTTATTCTCTAGGTCTCTAGGTCTTTGCCAACCTCTAGCTATGGCTTCTTCAGATTCAAAAACTTTTTCTTTATCTGATTCTCAACCTTCTACCCCAATTCCTCTTTTTAATGCTGTCCCACCCACCACACTCACTCCACCCACTTTTTCGTCCTTTCCCCATTTTAATACTCTACACACTCCAAGCCTTCCACCGACTTATCATGCCTCATCCTCTTCCTTCTTTTCTCATCTCGTGTTCACTGTTTCCAATATCAAATCTTTTGTTCCAGAAACCTTAACCCATGACAATTATATTATTTGGAAGGAGTTGATGATTCCTGTCTTCAAAAGCAAGGGGGTATATGGCCATATTGATGGTACAGATTTGTGTCCTCCACCTTCTCATCCTAATCATGCCGCCTGGGTACAGATTGATTTCCAAATTTTATCTTGGATTCATGCCACTATTTCCACAGATATATTGCAGATGATTATTCAACCGGGTAAGACTCTTTCTGCCAAGGAAGCTTGGGATGCCATTCACACTTCTTATCAGAATCAGTTGGCTGCCAGAAAAATGTATGTTAAGCAAGGGTTCGTTTCTCTCCAAAAACAATCCGGCCAGTCTATGTTCCAATATTTGCAATCTGTCAAAAAGGCAACAGATAACATGTATGGTGTTGGTGAGTGTTTGACTGACAGAGACAAAGTATTTCTGGCTCTTGCAGGACTTGATGCTGAATATAGTGTTGCCAAGAGAACTATTCCGCACAGATCTCCCTTTCCTTCATTTGTGGAGCTTCAATCTTTACTGCTTATTGAAGAATCAACACTGCAAAGGGAAAAATCTACCAGTGCTTTCCCTTTTGTTAACTCCAGTGCACAACAGGTGTTGCAGACCTCGGTTCACTCCTCTGGTATGGGCTATCCAATTCATGAGGCATATTATTCTGGAACTCAGTCCCGGCCTGATTTCTATGGCATGAACCGAGGCCATGGAAACTTTTATAGAGGTGGCCGTGGTAACAAACGAGGTGGTCGAGGCGGTCGTCATTTGTGTGGCTCCTTCTCAAATTTTGATCGTGGGTTCTATCCTGGAGCACCCACTAATCTAGGGCGTAGTTCCTCATCTTTTCTCAATACTGCTGGGAATCCTTCCTCATTGCAGCACTCATCTTATGGCCATCATTCCCCTCACTTCCGTGGCAGTAGCTTACCTCCATTATTGCCGAATCCGTCCATGGCATCTCCACATGTCACTGCTTGTCAACTTTGTGATCAATTGACTCACAAGGCTCGTGACTGCCCTCTGCTAATTGGCACAAATATTGCCTCAATGCCTTCTGCTCCGACGGTGCTCACAGCCACAACATTCCCTACCGCTCCGGACATCAAATGGTATATTGACTCTGGTGCTGATACCCATGTCTCTAGTACCCCTGGTAATCTCTCCCACTCCTCTCCTTACTCCGGTTCAGAGTTTATCCAGGTTGGCAATGGTCAATT